AACCCCTAAAGCCTAAACCTTCAACCCCCAAACCCTACACACTAAACAGAAACCCCTCAACCCTAAGCCCTAAACCCTGAAACCCTAAACCCTCAACCCCTAAGCGCTGAACAATCAACCCCTAAACCCTAGACCCTTGACCCTGACACCTCAAACCCTCAACTCCTACACCCTTAACCCTCACACCCCAAACCCTCAACTCTAAAACCCTCAACCCGTATGCCTTACGCCCTTATTCCTTAAACCTTAAACCCCTAAACCCTACACCCTAAACCCTAATCTTTCTAACCCAAATGCCTCAACTCCTGAACCCTACGCCCTAAACAAGGGGCTTCCGGACCTGGTCCACAGGAAACGCTGCAAGCGGACCAATCCGTCCACTCGGCCAAGGAACAGTCGATCGGACACTCCGTGAAGCCTCAGGGCTTCAAAGAATAGGGTTCAGGGTTTAAGGCCCAGGCATATGTAGGAATGAACTAGGAATGACACAGGGAGATAAGGGTGCCCCATGTATTATGTCAATCAAAGGTTTCACTGAAAATCCGATCAACAGCTCCTAGGTGGGATTTCAAACCAGCGCGAACAACCCTAAACCCTCATCCCCAAAACCCCAATCCCTAAACCCCTTAAACCCCAACCAAGCCGCTACAGGTGATCTCCTCCTCGGCATCACCAGTGCAGGGCTTCCCTGCCTCGTTGGCTTCGACAATGACAGTTCCTGAGGCAGCTTCGATGGCAGTGTGTAATATCATACTGTAGAACATGGGTTGTTCTCAAAATTGTCGGCCCCAGTTGAAGATTATATTCCGGCACCTAACCTTTAGGGGTACCAAGACGGCACCCCAATTTCGGGCACTACCCGACTACCCATATTGTGATGTATTACAGCAAATCACCGTACACTAGAATATATTATGGTATTTCGCATTGTTTCGGTTTTGCATTGTGGTACCACACGAGTGAAATGTGAACCCTCCAAAGCTTGATGCCACAAAAAATTCTTGTTTTGGGCGGTTTGCCTGCAGACCGACTAGTCGGATTTGGGCCAAGACGCGAGTGTGCTTCGAGGTTGCATGGCCACAGCTAGCTGAGCACGCTTGCCACTCGCTCCATTCGCTCCAGACACAATCTTCTGGACCTCTGCTTTCGTGACAAATGTTTGCAAAACGTGCAATCACATAAATAATCTGCCCCCCTTCAGTATTTACACAAATGTTTACATGCATATTCAAGTAGCTTCAGCTTAAAGAAGAAAATCCAAAGCATTTTAGTTGGACCTCATGCATTCGGGCGGCATGTCTCTTCAGGGCTACAGGGCTTGGATTCCACGGCAGCTGGGCACTCCTCACCTCCATAGGCCTGCACGAACGGCACAGACAACAAGAGCGGTCGCAGAAATGCATAGTATTAGTATTGTTTCAGATAGTAGTATTCTCAATAGAAGTATTATTCTGCATAACAAGAATAGTAGTAGTAGTAGTAGT